AAAACCCCAAAAAACCAACAACAACAAAAAAAACCCTCCTGCTCAGCCTTGTGGGAAAAACAGCTTCTCATCCTGCTAAAATGATCGCTGGGCAAAGGTCACCACATTTTACTGCCTCTCTTTAAAATTGATTGACAGGTTGAACGTTGCTAGGATGTCTTGAGCAGCCTCTTTATGCAGATATGATAACAAAGATTATGGCATACAAAAGAGAGATGGTATAAGGGAAATGGCATTGCTTCTTAATTCCCAAACAGAAATCAGTCTTTAGATTACATGAAAGAATGAATGGTATTAGGGTTCAATTGAGACCTAGCCCACTTGAAAATGCACTAATTTCTTCTAATTCAACTATCACATATTACATTCAAAACATCCTGCTATTGTGGTTACTTTTTGCACGCAAACCTTTTCTGGTGTTGACTCAGGTCTCATCTTTAAAATGAAAAAGTTCTCCATCAAGTCATAAGTTTGAGCAGCCAGGTTAAATGGCCACAGCACTGCTTTTGAGCACTCCCTTTTCCTGACCACTCTCCAAAGAGATCCATCTCAGTTCAGCATCACTGGTGGTGGGAATACAGTCCTGGACTGTGGAATGAAAGCTCACCAGGAGGGCCTGAGGATCATCCCTGCCTCAAGGGTGTCTAGGCCTGGAAATAAACCCTTACAGCTTCCTTTGTGTTTTCCCTCCTTGACACTTTTTGTCTCATTTCTTTTTCCAGCTGCTCATGTCAGGGCTACATTTCAGTTTTCTGTTGGGTGCAGACATCTGGTGGTCGAGCTGGTGATGGCAGCTGAGCAAGGGAAGCCAAACAAGGGAGGAGTGCAGGGTCTTTCATTCTTACACTTTGCCCAGTGATAGGAAAAACAAATTCTGCTATGCAGCAAGGATTAATTTTCTGTTTTGCTCCCCTTCTACCTTGTCACTTATTTTCTCCCCTCATCAAGACTTAGGCTGGGTGTACCTGGGTGTTTAGCAGAAAGGACAGACTGTGCCCAACAGATTGCAGGTCACTTCTGCAATGCAAGTGTGCTCAGAGCAGGAGAGGAGGCTCTTCCAGCAGCTCTAGTGACACCTCCCCAAACAGCATCTGCCACACAGATGCTCCACAGTGCAAAGAACGGCTTCAGTCAGTCCTGCCAGCTGCAGAAAACTGCACCTCACTCCTCCCTGAGACAGCCAGAAGTTGGAAGCAGGAATATTTCCAATGTGTGTGGTCCTTCCTGGACCACCTCCATCGGCCTGCAGCCTCCAAAGTCTCTTGTGGGATATATTTTGTGTATGCTTTGGCTCTGTGGTGCAAGAAGGGAAAGGAGCTACACATCACTGTTTTAGCACATGCTGAAGAATTGTTTATGCAAGGCACAGATCCTTCAGTGTATGACACATCTGGAGGGGTATTCAAGCTCTCCTACCGAGATACTGTGCAGTAGGACACACATATGGAGAGTATTCTATGACCTGAAAGAAATATGTAGGGTCAGGGACTACTCCATACTCGACCTGCTAAAGGTGGGATCAACCCTAATTTTAGCTTTTCCAGGAAGAGCAGCAAAGACTGAGATCACTTCACCTGGGAGGAGATGAATGAAGTGCTGAAGGTGCCCGGTTCTTTCCAGTGTCTTAAACCACATGTGCAACACCCTGGCTTGTAGGTGTGACATCAGGTGAATCTCTCAGTATAAAAAGATCTTTTGCCCAAAGAGCCCAAGGCAAATGTAACTTGACACAGAAGACTGGTCTCAAGAATGAGCAGATACTCCATACCTCTGGCTCTGGTCTGTCTCTACCTCTGTTCAGTGTTTCTTCAAAATTTAATGTGTTTCCAAGACAAGCAATTTCCTCAACTTCAGACAACTGTTT